CGACGCTAGACGGAACATTAGACTCAAGGGGCTGACCATCAAAACGAATAACTGGTTCTGACGCGGGCGAACCGTACTTTTCGTATAACTCCTCAATTGAGAGCTGATCGAAATCGGCTGGGAGACAGAAAAGAATATTGCCGATGTGAAGATCTGATGTAATGTTGTATAAGCATATGGCTGTAAAGTTATAAAGAATGGTGACTAACCTCCATGAAGAACTCCTTTACTGTGGATGTACTCGACGGCTAGCAAAAGTTGCACAATAAGCGAGCGAGCTGTCATGGCCTGGAAGATGCGTCTGTATGACCCTTCCTTCGCACTGGAGACACTGCACATTGCTAGGGTTGTCACATAGCAAGGGTGGGTGCCATTAGGGCCATGGAGGACGAATCTATCTTTGATAGAGGGTATCATTGTCCTCGCCGGGTGATCAAGTGGAGAAGAGTGGCTGAGATAATTGAGGACATCAACCTCTCGATCGTTTGAATCGGCCGTTCCGACTTTGATTGCCACGTATGTATTAGACTGGTAGTCCCAGCAGAGCCAAGTGGTTGAATAGGCTCCGTAGCCTAGCTTGTGGGCGACTCGATATCGGGATTGAAAAATATCTCCTATCAGAATAGGGTGATATCCACCAGGCTGGTACTTTTCAAGTCTCTCGACTTCTTCTATCGGTACATATTTGAAGGGGAGTGGACCAGAGTCAGCACTAGACGAGAAGTTCTTGAAAGCCATGAATGACTTGCATGCGAGTCCACCAACAGAAATTTTCCAAGAATAAGGATAGCAGAGCAACGAGGAAGATGTTCGGTGAATGAACATCTGATATATAGAGCTTTGTTGACGAGCCCAAAGTGAATTTCGTGACCTGATCACGAAGGCCATTACCGGACGATTTGAGTAAAATAAATGATCGGGCGGTGAAAGTCCGATTAATTATGCCCGCCACAAGGTCATACTCGGCCCAGCACGGCCCAACACCCAGTAGCGGGTGTTGGGCCGCACTGGTCTAATGCAAAAACTAGTCTAATGCAAAACTTCATCTACCCACCATTTTACAACTCTCTCTACTACCCCAAAAATGCCTTTTTCTTCTCAAGATTAGGAGGATCGCCTTAGTAGTGCTATTGAAGCCTACCATGCAAGCAAGAAGCCTGTTCTCTCAGTATTGGCGCGGGAATTCGACTTTCCATACTATACCCTGAGGGGTAGAATCCACGGTCGCACTTCTCGAAGCAGTCGTATTGGTCCCAACAAAGCCCTAGAACCAGATCAAGAGAAGGCATTAATGCTTTGGATTGATACTTTAAATACTGCAAATGCACCACCAACCTCAAACATGATCTATAAGTGCGCAATTGACATTCTTCGGCGCCATGATCCAGATCGGCAGCTCGGTAAAAATTGGGCGTATCGCTTTATTAAACAACTACCTGAGAAATACACCTATATCAAGCAAAAACCTATGGAAAAAGACCGATTGGAAGCAGTTACCCCTGGCCATCTTACTACCTGGTATACTCGCCTTGGTGCTACGATTCAGCGTTGTGGAATTCAATCAAATAATATCTACAATTTCGACGAGAGCGGCTTTAAACTCGGCGAGGGCAAGCAACGAATGGTTGTTTCAACTAAATGTGGCCAATCTAGTATTGGAACTGGCGGCCCTAGTGAATCTCTCACTTCAATTGAATGTATTGCTGCCGATGGCTGGGTTATGCCACCTTGGTTTCTAGTGAAGGGTGAATTTCATATGGAGAATTGGTATAGGAATACCAACGTTCCTAACGATTATTGGATTACCCCTACTGCCAATGGCTGGACAGATGATACTATAGCCTTTCAATGGCTCCAATTATTTGAACAAAGCACAAAAAACCGCTGTACGAAGGGTGGTTTTAGGCTGCTTCTTATGGATAATCATGGTTCTCATCTTACCTTTGAATTTATCAAATTCTGTGAAAACCACTTGATAATTCCATATTGTTTCATCCCACATACTACGCATATATGTCAACCGCTTGACGATGTGCCGTTTCAGGTGCTAAAACATTATTTTCGTAAGAATAATAATGATATAGTACAGTGGGGTGGTTCAGTGAAGCAAAAATCGGACTTTTTTACAAGCATACATGGCGTTCGTCTCCAAGCATTCCAAGGCCGTACAATACGCTCTGGTTTTACAAAATGCGGTATATATCCTATAAATGCCGATTTCGCTTTACAAAAACTAGGCTGGAATGATGATCCTGATCTTCCAGAGCCAGTTTTGGAGATATGGGATGGTGATACCCCCCTCCGGCGTCAAGCTCTATACCAAATTCACCGGTAAAAGACGTTAAAGACTTCCGGAAATACGCCAAAAAAATCAAGAGAAAAATCGACGAGATTGGAGATGAGATTGACTCTATTTCTCCTAAGCTACGCCGTCAAATAGCTCCATTTTTAGCTGGTGGGCTTGCTTTAGTGGAAGCGGGCGCTCAGTATGCGCAGGACAATATCAACATTTTGGACCTAAAGCGCCGGAAGGATGCCAATAAAACCAAGCGAAGGGTTAATATGGGTGGCCCTCTAAGCTCTTTAAATGCAAAAAGGCATATAAAAGTGAGAGATGACGCAGAGAGGAAGAGATTAATCCAGCAAGCTAAAAAGAAGTGGATTGCGGCTTCTACTTTAGAAGCCGCTCTCTCAATGGAGAAGTCAAAACCAGGGGATATTAATACGGAAGAAGAAAATGCGGAAGCTGACGATTCTGTAAATATTAAATTCACCATAGATACTATAGGGGAAGGGTGCTAAATGTCATGTTTAAAATGGTGGGTAGATGAAGTTTTGCATTAGACTAGTTTTTGCATTAGACCAGTGCGGCCCAACTCCCCCGGTGGGAGTTGGGCCGTGCTGGGCCGAGTACTTTGAAAAGGACAGTTTGCCTGTAGCTTGACGTATTGGGTGCTTGGTAGGTGGCAAGTTGACGTCTAGAGCGCACGGGACCCGTGTTATCTTAGTCGCCGTGGCGACCGCGCAGACGAGGCGGCTAGGGAAATCACGGAATGTTTCAGATTCCAGCGGAGCAACGCCACCAAGCCACAATCCCCAATTGCAGGACACAACTTCTACTCCATGACCCAAAATCACTGGAGAGGAGAATTCGGACAACTATACATCCAAAAAGTGTGTGCCAAGCCCCTATTACTAGCCAATTAACCACCAAAAACCTATTTGGAAATTGAGCTCTCCCTTCAATTAGTTCTGATGAGACTATCTCTGAAATATACATGCAGGTAGCTCCACTGTATCTAGATCGCGATATGTACCTGGTAATACTTAATGTAGCTTGCTTCGTGTGGGATTACAGACCCGCCCCAGCCGTTGGACTCTCGGTTGCAGTGTCGGACCGAGCCTAACTCTAGGCCTCGTGCTTGTAAAATAGTATGAACCATACCGCGGTTCATTCGTCGCAGTGGGGCCCGGGATTAAGAACAGAATGTGAAATGGTGAAGCTGGCTTTGCAATTCTCACCCAAGTAACAGTCCAGTCTGCTGCAAGAGTGTTTCAATAGAACAATGTTCACTGTTGCTCTGTTTGACGGCAATCGGTGGTTCGACAATGTATGGTACCAACCCTAAACCTTGGAATAATAATACGCCCATCTGTATGGTATTCCAACCTCCATAGTTATGTGATCTTCTGGGTAAATACCCTATAAATCCATGTATTCGTGTTTGTTTCTAACAAATTTTATTAGCCATCGCGAATTTACAGGCAGCAGCTATCACCACCCCCCGGTGAATCTTCACTACTACTCAGTGTTGGGTTTGTGTCGACCGGTTGCTACCCTTCAAGACCCAAGTATTTCGGTAATCCAAAACCTATCCACTACCAGCATTTGGAAAGTGGCCATATCCAATCTCCGGTGCAACATCCAACTCCATTTCAGAAGGCCATACCGGCTTTCCATTTGATTTCAAATGGGAGTCTGGCTTCGCCCCCGAATGAGTCGCTTGAAGGAAAGTCAAGTTCCCTTTGCCTTTAATGTAGCCATGAGAAGCAACATGGGTATAGCAAGGTCTTCTCCAATGACCCTGGCCACAAGTCTTTGAATCTCTGTTCATATTTGTGGCCATTATTATAGTCGTTGTGCTGAAAGTCCTTCGCACCTGATGAGGATGGCCTTGGGGTAAAGTTTTCTGTCTCTTGCGGTCTGATAGGCAAGGCCGATCAAGTCTCGCAGCCTCTGTTGATTTTCAGGGAGCATTGCCCGGTAGAAATAATATTTCACAACGTTGATGGTCGACATGAGAGGCCAGTGATTTAAATCAGACTGTATCTTAACAGTATGAGGTGGAATAGAATTGACGACAGGTTGAGAAAAGCAGTTGGGAGGTAAGACTCACCACGGCTGTTGAGGGGCTAGGTTTTATAAACGTGACAGAATCTTCCGAACTAAGCCCGCTTTATGCAGACCTATCACATAACAAGTCAGCGGCCAGCCACAAAAAAGAAATGCGAGGGAGGCCAGATTTGAAAGCGGAGGGCCATCCAACAACGTACAGGTATGAACGGCCGACAAAATAGGCCCATTAATTGAATATGGTGACCCAATATTCGTTAGTGCCCACGTATGCGATGTAGTTCCTCATATGGGCTGTGCAAGTTGCCTAAAGGGGGTTCTGCGCATTTATGCGCAGAACCCCATTAGGCAAGGGAAGAGAGATAGATTACACCGATCAAATAGCCCAATTAAATGGCCCTTTGGACATGACTCGGAACAAGGTCTTCCAGTAATATAATCTCGCCCCCGATCGGACATTGATGAAGATCATCCCGGGAGTAAGCGCTTTAGGATGACTCGTGTGATTGTGTAGCAGATTGCATTATATGTTACATATACGGGCTACCCCACTTTATACCTTGAAAGTACACCATGCATATACACGCTGGTGCCACATTGGGAATTATCAAAATCTCCATCCATCTCTTTGGACTCTACAACGACTATGTCTCAAAGCAAGAGTGTATTCCAATTCGAAGGCAGCGACACTGATTACATAGCCTTCCTTGAGATTCGGCTTTCAGCTGCCTTAAACCAAGGAACTAGCCAGGCTTTCATTAGCTCGGCGACTTCGCTATGCGATGCTCCAGCGACCACATCATCGGATTCTCAAACGAGTACTTCTACGGCTGCACTAGCAGACTCTCAGCATGGCACTTCAGCTATAGCATCAACATCATCAGCGGACTCTCAGCCCAGTATGTACTGGCACAATATTGACTGACGCGTTTTTGGTGCCGCTGGGACGGCAAAAATTGCATGGGAGAAAAAGGCTTGATCTACGGCCCTCAATACCAGCGTCTCCCTCCCCCTTAATTGCACATCACAACCTTACCGTCATTTTTATCTACTAGGCAATAAAACCCTATTCATTACTAGTCCATAATACCTATGGCATATACTAAAGTAAGCTTGTTGACGAAGAAAACTTGAAGACCCCTTTAACCTCTTGGCGGGAATGGTACGAAGTAGAGCTACCGTAAAGATAGCAAACCCCACTTCTGAATATTCAAGTCGTATGGCCTTTCGTCCAAGGGTTCTCGTATATCTTTTTTATTGGTGAGTAGCTTGAACTATTGAACCGACACTGCCTCCTCAGCCACACCTGAGTATGAGTCCGTGCGCGACAGGATCCTCCAACCTTTCATGATTTACTATGCTCATGTATTTTTGTATTCGTCCATCCATCCGTCTCATATATATGAATCCACTATCCCCTCACAATTGTGATTTCTTCGATTTGTTTCAATGTACTCAGTCATCAGTCCGAATTTATCTGCTGCAAGGAGCTCTTCGGCAAGAAGAATGTCGTCTCTTATTCCTAGGCATTTTCTTCGAGGCGCCTATTGGAACTACCGCGTTCTGGAACCTGTCAAAGGAGATAGCACGCACATTTCCACCGTCTTTAAGGCCCAGATTGTTCCACGTGATGCCCGCGTCGTCCCCGAAGTCCCTAAATGGTTCGTTGTATTGCACTAACCATATCCAGACTCTAAGGCTAACTCCGCTATCTAGGGCTTTGATCAAAGTAGCGTCGCCTAGTGATGAAAATGCCACCAAGAATATGCAACGTGAAGTTCTGACATATCGCCTTCCTGGTGTCGCCTCGGCGAAGTGCTTCCGGAAAATGTATGATGTAATCGACGACAGCACCATTGCTTTGGAATGGTTGGATACTACTCTCGCAGAGGTGGAATACCATCCTGACATGCGCATCTACTCCCTCATCAATACGTTTTTAAGAGCAGCGTTCACAAGTTGTGTCGTTCTGGAGGACCACAAACATGTGAATACAGGTAGAATGTCTGGTCTTGAAGAGTTGGCATTTGCTAATTACTCCAGACTATAAAACTGCCAATATCCTGCTTTCTGACAACCGGACAGACCGTGTTATCGCTAAAGTGGGAGACTTGGGACTCGGTGAGCAAGTATTAATATACGAGACATGCCTTTACTAAACCGCTTATAGTTGTCCCGGTTGGCGAACTTTTTAACGCCCAACCATATGCTATGCGCGCCCCTGAAGTCTTTCTAGGCAAACCGTGCACTGAGCCATCGCAGGTCTGGGCTGTTGCTGCGATGCTACTTTGTTGGGTCAAACCTGGTGTATTGGGCGCATGGGATAGCCCTCATCCTTTGATTAACGAGGCTTGGTCTATGGCAAAGATACAGCGGCTCTTCCCCCACTGGGAGATTCCGACTCCTGAAATGGTGAAGGGCGATACCCTTAAAGTTGCACTAAATTCTGCCCAATCTCTAAGTAAACAGATGCCAGAACTACAAGCGATCCTACCTTTCGAAGAAGAGACAAAAAAGGTGGAGATGCCGCGGCAGTTAAGAGATCTTCTTCGCTTCATTCTGGTACCTGATCCGAAAATAAGGCCATCCGCCTCATTTGTGCTTGCATCAAGGGAATTTCGAAAGTTTGAAAAGTACGTGACCGTGTAATATAATCAAATTGGAGGATCGCGTCTTGTCCATAGTGGTTGTTAGCGAATAAATTAAATCTCCTAAATCTGGATTTGTGGTGTCCTTGCTGCTGCTGCCGAAGCTAGCCGTCCCAGCATATCACCATCCATGCCTTCTAAGCCTCCAGAGGTGCCGTTAAGAATGTAATATCGGGTCCTTTTCCATTCTCTTCGAATACAACGATGGACGGAAACGAACTATGAAATGGTATTGGTTCAGCAAAACATTGACTAAATATGATAATATGAGTCAATCGGACGTTGAGACTGCCCGGAGACATCTGAACAAGGTAAGTGAACTCGTGGGAGAAAATGAATGGAATCACCTAGAACAGAAATATCATCTTAAGGAAAGGGCATTTATTTTGAGAGATAAACAATCATTTCCGGAGCTTGTTGAACCATTTGAGAAATTCCAATAGAGATTTTATCATGCTCTCGACTTTGTGTCGTTATGGATCTCTGTGGAGTAATATCTTCCTATAGGAGTATTGTGAGGCCTTTTGACGTTTATGGTCAAGAATGGTTCCGCTAATGTCACACATTAGGACCTACAGCCATGCTCAGCAACGTGATATTGACAGAATCTAGGTTGTTCCTTGATAATATTTTAACAACTATACGCCGTGTTCCGTGACGAGCCCCAGTCTTATAGCTCTTTACGTGGTAGATAGCAACGAATTTCGCGGCCAATAGAACTCTTGATTTGAGGTTTACCTTGACATCGACTAGCAAAAGCTTAGTAGCCTATCAAACGCTTTATTTCAGACTTAGTCTCGCAGTAACGATCAGTATCCAATCACGTCCGAGATGGGTCTCCTTCAAATGAAGATTTACGCGTGGCCGTATGAGCCCTCCATGCCATATAAAACCGATGTTTCTCCGTTGGATGGACACAGACGCAACCCTCGCGATGGATCAACTCTTATAGCATCTCTTGTCCGGATAATGGGCGGTTGGTCACGGAATCATACCCCTTAGACTTGCACATCAAGCATTTACTTGCTATGCTTCCTTATCATATTTTCGAATGCCTAGTCAGGGATTGGAGCATTCTTGTCGGACCTGAGCCCAACTATAGCTCCCCGGAGAAATACCGCATTGGTGGCCATTAGCCACACCCTTTCAACCGACTCAACGTCTTTTGAAAAATATGAGTAACCAATAACTGCACCCGAGTCCTGTAAGCTAAAAATAAGAGGGAAGGTGGACTTGTTACAACACCTGCCATTAGACCTGGCTGGGAACCACGGTCGAACCTCACGAACCTACCCTGAACCTCCATTTGGGCGGGTCAGGTTCCAGGATTTGGAACCTGAGGGCGGTTCCATCCGAGGACCGAACCTCATCAGGTTACCCGCGGGTGAACCTCAGGTTCCACAAACATGACAGACAGGTAAAAAACGTGACTATAGGTCAATTGCATAAATCATGTAGAAACAGGCTGTATTCTCTTGTAATTGTAAGCCAAGACTTCATTACTGTATGGCCTTGCAGAAGGATACTATATGTCTACTCATCAGCGCATGTCCTGGGTGGTTTATCTTCGAAAGGGGGTTTTAATTGTCAATTGTTTACATTGCATCTATAGTACAGTGATCAGTCATGGTTCTTAACAGTCAAGTGTCAAACTATCAAACTATATACCCATCTTGTAGTCTCGACTTCTTCTCCTGATACACGATGCTGCGTATGAGGTAAGGGTAAAGCCGAGTTATCATCTGGATGCGCAAATTCATTGGTATCAGAGTCTTCCTCATCGTCAGAAGAGACCGGCGACCGCTGAGAGTGGCGGTGCGTCCTGGGTTACCTGTGTGGTTACTATTGTAGCGGGTGTATCAAGATGCATCTCGACGCCTTCCTCGGTATCACTAATGGCCTCAGAGCAAGTTGTCTGGATATCGAGTTCTTCAGACGAAGCTGCGATCTCTTCCTCTGAAAGGATACTCTTGGAGAATCACTCGCTGCTCCTCCTTGGTATCGAATCTTGTTGTACACATATACAGCATGATATCGCGAATAGTCTCTGGGTTTAACGACCCCCGGCGATAGTGGCAAACGTCCCGGGCAGAGTTAAAAAGACGCTCAACCCCGGCACCAGTCGCTGGAATTGACATGATATCACGGGTAATCCTTGCAAAAATAGGGAACTCTTTCTCATGATTTCTCCAGAATATCCGAGCAGATTCATCGATAGTGGCTAAGAAGGTTAGTATTTAGATTGGTTTATTAAGCTCACTCACTTACCACTCTGGATATATCTAGTCAGCTTGTCGTGTTGCGGACCGGTTGATTGCTGATACTGTAAGGAATCGCCCTTACAGGCCCTCTCAAGCGCTGATTTGGCTGGTAATAACATACTATCAGACTGTGTCATATTGTAATGTTGCCAGAGTGGCAATAATATGACTCGAACACTAAGACAAACCACAATGCAACGGACAGTTGAGTATGAGAAATAGAAGCCCGGTGTGGAGATTATGTACTATAATCGAGGGAGAACGGTAACTAGACCTTGCCAACTCCCATCATTTGGTCCCATGGGACCACTCCCATGGGAGTAGATGGGACTCCCATATGGTCCCATGGGAGTGCCAAGAGATGGGAGTGAGGTGCCAGTCCGCTCCCATGGGACTTTGATGGGACTCCCATGGGACTGTAAACACTGCAAACACGTAGAAAAACGTGACCTGCATAAGATATGCAGAAATGCCCTGTATTAATGGGTATTTAGCTTACAGTGGGAGGTAGCATTGAATGATTCTGGATTAATTCCTGTCAAAAAGTAGTGTAATTATAGTATCCTGTGATTAAACTATCTAGTATACTCGTATAGATCTTCATCCCTACGCCGCTTACGATCTCTTTGGGGGCGTGCCTGACTTGTAGTATCGATAGCAGGCAATGGATGTAGTGCCGAATCATCATCTGACTCCTCAGCGGCCTCCTGATCGGTAACAATCTCTCCTGCTTCATCTGAGTTATCACCGTCCTCACCCTCGCTAATTGCCTCTGGTATACACTCAGGAAGTTCCGCCTCCCTTACCTCATCACCCTCAGTCCTTTCGTCCTGATTTAAGGTAGCCTCAGGTTGGAAATCCTCCCCAGTTTCCTCACTTTCAATATCAAATTTGGATAAACAACGAAGCATCATCAAATACTGTATTGTTACTTCGTTCAATGAGCCTCGTCGATAATGGCAGATATCGCGAGCAGTACTAAAGAGGCGCTCAACACCGGCGCCAGTAGCTGGGATAGAAAAGACATCCCGTGCAACCGCTGCGAGTGTCGGAAATCTATACTCATTCTCTTTCCAGAAATGGCATGGGTTTACTACGCTCCGTTCTACATATAATTAGCTTAGTTAAGTTATAATCATGATCATCTAAACATACCAGTATTAAAATATCCCTTAAGTTCTTCTTGCCACCCAGTCTTCGGCTGCGGTGGTGGCTCTGGTTGATCCTCCTCGAAGAGGCTCATCATTGCATCCGTGCTATGCGAGGAGGACTTTGCCTTTGTAAGCACTTGCTTTTCAGGCTGGCGTTTTGAGTAATCCTCCAAATGATTATGAAGAGACTTTTCATATATGTCATGCCAGGAGGAATCCATATTATCGACTTCACCTGCCCACTCTGGTCCTTTAAAGAATTCAAGCTTATGCTGGGGTGCAAGAATTGTACCAATTGCATATAGGCTGCCATGTGCTTGCTCAGTTGCTTTATAGTATACCGAGAGTTTCTTACTTCCGGCCTCAAGAGCCTTAAGCATAGCCTTTTTCCAAGGCACTTTCTTTCGCCGAAGTCGGGCCTGGGCCTGCTCAAAATGGGTAAACAGTCGGTTGTAGACCCGGAACACATCATGGATTGTTGTCGCCTTAATCTTTGATAGGCCAACCGTCCATTTGTAGAAAGGCTTTGTGATATGGAGCAAGTATTCGATCTGCCGCCATTCGCTTTTACCAAGCCGGAATTCGGGGCGCTGATGCTCTGCGCAATATCTTTGGTAGCTATCTGAAAGGCGATTGGCGCGCTGGAGCATAAGATATGTTGAATTCCACCGAGTGCGTACATCCTGGATCGGGGCAAGCCTCGGTTCTTCGCTTTGAAGATTCAGAAATGCCTCCCGTCGCTGTGGGCTGGCATTAATGAAAACTGCGAAGGCCCGCACCTAGTAGTGTAGCAGTTAGTATTAGATAAAATTGTTAAAGGCATTAGTTACTTTACCTTAGCTAGCGTATAAATTACTCCCTTCTGTCTCTTTGCCTGTTGAAGAACACTCCCATTTTCTTCCGACCATGTTGTTGCCGTCTTATCGTTTTTTGGATCAGCCTCCATTAGGCCAAGGAGATATTTCAGACTCAATTGAATCACATGAGCAAGACACGGAATCCGTACAATTTCAGTGAAATTAGGAAGCTCCAACCGTTCGATTGAATCACATAGACTATCGACCAAGGTCTTATTATTTGACGCATTGTCTGTAGTAATCGCAATCACTCGATTGGTAATCTGCTGTTGCTGAAGAACCTCAAGGAGAACGTCTGCCATATAGGAGCCTGTATGCTGGCCGTGAACTGGCATGAAACCTAGAAGTATCTCATGATAATCCCAATTGATATCCACAAAATAGCCTGTGATTGCCATGAATGCCTGTTGGAAGGGTGAGGTCCAACAATCAAGGGCAATTGATAGCTTCGCTCCGGCTGGGAGAAGAGAAAGGAGCTTTTGCTGCTCTATATGGACGATTGACTGGAGCCGACGCCGCGCGGTCTTTGGTGATAGAAGGGTGAGCTTTTGTTGAGAAAGCTGAGCCTCTGTAATTAGATCTTCAAAGTCTTTATGCCGGAGGATCTGAAATGGAAGGCGTGAGTTCGCTATAAATTTGACTTGGGCTCTTTCAAATCGTTGTTGGTCAAAGACTTTTCGGGTAGGCGTACGAGTAGACTAAATGTAATATAGATATTAGTATCAAATCGAT